GGAACGAATTACCTTTCCTATGTGAAAATTTGATTATCCATTTGTGTCTCCACAGAACAGAGTGATGTAGAGTTTCTTCATAGTTGCAATCAGACTTTCTTTCAGGAATTTATTTCCTGCAAGGTCATGGCCTTTTTACACATTTCTGGTCAGTGCTTCTGCCGTTGAAACTGTCTGTGGTTTGGCAGCAAATACTTCCTTCAGCCACCCGAGGCAGAATTTTGTGTGTGAGGAACAGGAAGAAAAAGAAAAATGGAATCTGTTGTAATTTCTCAGAAGGTTGAGCTTGACAAAGGGACCCACAATGAAGTGCTTGATATTCTTGGGAGGAGAGCAGGCCACACAGTAGAATTGCTGAGAGATGATGACTTTCTTAAAATGACTGGGTAGTCTGGTGTAAGACTTTAGGTCTGCACTTGCAACTGGAGACCTCAGTGACTTCCAAGTGCTTGCAGGGATGAATTCCAGTGAAGACCCCAAAGACTTGCCAGTGAAGTTCTCTGATCACTCCTTGTCTCCTGATGATTCCTTGCCTTGCTTCTCTCGTTTACATTTTTGGGTTTTGTTTCTTAGTTTGGCATGTCTGAAGGTTTCCTTGTGATTATCAGCATTGCTTCATTCAGCAATGCATCGTGTGTTAGTGCCTCTTGTTCATGGTACAGCAGGTGTGAAAGGCAGGAGATGTGAAGGTGTCCTTGAGTTCTGTTATGAGAATAGGACAAATAAATGTGAACATGACCTCTTTGTGGAACAGTGTGGGTGGTAAAAGAAGGCAGATTGACTCTGAGTCACTCGTTTGGTGAGTCATTCTTTGTTGGATGACCACTCCTCGTTCATTTTGGTGGTTTGTAATTTGCAGAATTAGAATCCTTCCATTTCTTCTCTGAATGGTGGGGAGCAGGCAAATGTGCCTCCCTTCTTGGTGTTATTATAGTGCATTATCATCTCATGGTCAATCTTACAAACGATGAGAGGGTCACAGGGAAAGCTGCCAGTTGCATAGCAGTGAAGAGAAGGCAGGAGAGCTCTGTGTGTGAGGTTGTAGAAGAATTTCATCATTCACTTGCATATCTTTTGTCACAGGTAACACCTGCATGTCCCTGATGGGGTACCATGCAATCTGAGCTGCTTCTGGACAGTAAGTGAGGCCTAATGAAGGGTTATCACACTTGACCTGTTCCTCTCTGTGAGTTCCTAACTCTTTCCTTTCTTGGTGTCAGGAGCTCAACCTCAGGGTGTCTGCTCTCACGTGGAAGGTCACTTCTCTTCCAACTGTCCCACACACCTGGGATGTTTACAGCTGTGAAGAGGAAGCTTTCACAGACATATGTGCTCACCTAGGCACACTTTTCTGTAGTGTAACAGTGCAAAACCTTCTCAGCTGCAGTCCTTGAAGGGCAGAGTGGTCACCCACTGAAGCCAAGGATTCTATAAACCCACCAGGGGTGGGTGGAAGAATATGTGCAGAGTGTCTCTCACACAGTTGCCCAGAACATGCTGGACACTCATCTGGAGACTGTTAAATAGCTGAGGAACTGGCTGAGTAGTCATCTCCAAGGAGTTACAGATAATGGCTCAGTGTCCAAGTGCAAACTTAGAACTTGTTCCTCAAGAATCCTTCCTGAGACCAGTGCTATTTAGTACCTTCATAGACAATGGGATTGAGTACACCCTCAGCAAATTCGCAGCTGACACCAAGCTGAGTTGATTCATGAGAGGGCAGAGATGCCACCTAGAGGGACCTTGACAGGCTGGAGGCGTGGGCCTGTGCAAGTATCATGAAGTTCAACAAGGCCAAGGCAAAAGGTCCTACACCTGGATCAGGGCAATCTGCAGTTTCAGTAGGGAGTCGGCTATTGGGAACAGCGTTGCAGAGAAGTAAATGGGGTTACTGGAGGGTGATAAAATGGGACATGATTTGGCAGAAGGCACTTAACGGTCAGAAAGAAAATTGTATCCTCTGCTACATTAGAAGTAGCATGGCCAGCAGCTTGATGGGGATGGTTCACTGCCTCTAAACTCTTTCTGTGAGACCCCAGCTAGAGCCCTTCAATTATGGTGATGAAAAGAAGGATGTTTCAAGAATCACAAACAAAAGAGTAACTGCTACTGTGCTACCTTAGCATAGAGATTGGTTCCATTACTTTAGGCTGATTCATTTCCCAGGTTAATTCATCCCAGGTAATGAATTCAGCAGAATTCAAGAGATCTCACATTGTGCACAAATGCTCTTGAAGTCTTCCTTCTAATATCATTTATTGCTCCTATATTTGTGCCCTGGTTTATAAAGAGTAACTGAGTTCCTTCCTTTATCTCCTTGCTAGGAATATTTATGAATATTTGATTCTTACTATTAATTGTGATAATGACCTAAACCACCCGACAGCGCATCTCAGTTCAAAAGAACTTAGGAAGCAAATTAAGCAGGTCCTGCTTTGATTGCTGATTGGAATCGAGTGGAGACTCCACAGCCGGTTCAGTAGACAGCGCAGCTCAAAGGTGGCTGCAGTGCTGTGGCGGCGCCTCCGGGTGTCGCTGTTGGCCGCCGCCGAGCGGCGCTGGAGCCGCAGCCGCCGCCGCCGCAGCGTCCTGCCCCCGCAGGCTGCTCGCTCGCCCGGCCAGTGGCGGCCAGAGCGGCAGCGGCACGGGCAGCAGAGGCGAGAGGCGGCCAGAGCGGGCAGCGGCGGCGTCCGAGGAGGCGGCG